CTGTGTCGTCTGCCCTGGAAGGCAGATTCTTTACTGAGCCACCAAGGAAGCCCCACCCTTTATTTTTAAAAGTAAATGCTGGGGTGAGATTATGTAACCAGTTCTTTCAAAATAGACCTCTGTCTTGTTAGCAGTTTTTGCTGCCAGTCTGAGTTAAAACTCAGATTGCCACATCACAGGGCAAACACAGTAAAATTATGTTCTTCTCCAAACTTCATTAATTCCTTTTTTTAAAAAAATCATCATATATATTCCAAAAAAGAATGTACAAAATGCTTTATTGGGCTGTCTAATCAAACATCTTTGTAACCGTGAAGATTCATAAGTGGGCCTTTGGGCAGTTTTTAGAGTCTCTGATGTTCTGCTCCCAGCTCATCTCCGTGCTGCCGATAGAGGATCTCTGTTTGAGTCATACCTTTACCATCTGCTCTTTTCACTACACAGTGTTGTTTTAGTTTTGTCTGCTTTGACCTGTCAATAAATATTAATTAAATTACATTCAGAATGCTTTTTGGTTGCTTTTAGCAGCAGATGTTGGGTACACACCTAGTGTCTGAGACTGTGGGCCAGTCAAGGTACTCATCCATTGCAGTGGTTATGGGGTTTGGGCTTTTTCCAGTTTACTTATTTATGTATTCTTTTTGGTCATGCTGAGTGGCTTGTGGGGTCTTAGTTCGCAGGGCTCTTGGCAGTGAAAGTGTGGAGTCCTGACCACTAGACCACCAGGGAATTCCCCCTAGTTTAATTCTTAATCTCATTGAAAATATATTTTCTATATCCTTATATCCATCTCCAAGTACAAATACATGTAAATTCTCTGGACACTGGAGGACAGCTGATGGTGATCAAGTTCAGATTTACAGGAAACGGCAGTGGGGTGCATCAGTTGATGCTTCCTCTGTTCATGCCTAATTTACATATTTGTCATCTATGGTCGTCAACACTTGGGATTATTAACTAATTTTTGTTCTTCGAGTGAGATATAATCTGCTTGACATGTTGCCTGATTATTCCCTATTACTAAGCAGATGGACATTTTTTCATGTGTGGTCTCTCATCGTCTGTTAAACAGGTTTTGGTTATTTTCCCATTATTTTAAAACTCTGGTGTCCATCTTACTTCACATACTAACCTTTTAACATCACATGTATTTTCTTCTATCTTTTGTTTTATAACTCCCTTCGTTTTAATATGTTTGCATTGGTCAGGCTCTTGCTTCAAGGCTCTTTTTTCTTTTTCTTAAATGAGAAAGTTCTCCCTATTTTTGGATCAATGAAGCATTTACCTGTGACTTCTAAAAGTGTCCCAGTTTTATTGTTCACATTTACATCTATAATGAATTGGCTGTTGTCCATGGAATACAGGGGAATGATACAGTACATTTCCTAGTTACATAACAAATTGTTTTAGATATATTTCTGCAGTGGTAACATCAAGGACATCTTTCATATTTTCATCTATCTCCTTTAATGTTATCCAACAAAAATAAAATTTTTCCATGAAGATTATTAAATACCTCATTCATTCTTCTTTAGTACCTAATTAAATGTGTTCTTAAGAAGCCAGATGCGGGGGACCGGGATGGGGAATACATGTGAAAAAAAAAAAAAAAGATACACTATGGTTGTGAAAAAATAAATAAATAAATAAAATGTAAAAAAATAAAAAATAAAATAAAAGAGCAGAAAAAAAAAAAAAGAAGCCAGATGCAAGCTTCTAGATATTCTTTCCTAGTGTAATCATATAAGAGAGGCTCAATCCTCCAAGTGGCAGGGTTTGACAATACATGTAAAATACCAGCTCATTAGAAACAATACCCAAGAGTGATTTGGGGGGCAGATCACATCAGTACTCTCGGCTGAGCATAACAAAATTCAGACACTGAGAATGAAGAGTTTGTGATGTACTATAAACAGTTGAGATACACCAAGCCAGTTAGGTTGGTGGAAAATGAAGTGAAAGTGTTAGTCACTCAGTTGTGTCTGACTCTTTGAGACCCCCGTGGACTGTAGCCCGCCAGGCTCCTCTGTCCATGTAATTCTCCAGGCAAGAATCCTGGAGTGGGTCGTTGCTCCCTTCTCCAGGGGATCTTCCTGACCCAGGGATCAAACCCAGGTCTCCTGCGTTGCAGGCAGATTCTTTACTGTCTGAGCCACCAGGGAAGCCCTGGCTTGGTCAGGTCACTTACAAATCCCGGTTCCCAGATAACCAGCGAGGGACAAAGACTGTGAGCAGGCACTGCTAAGAATCAGCCCTCCCAGGCCTTCTAGTGTGACTCTCTTCTGCACACTTTGTAATAGGACACCATGAGGAGCAAGCACTGTAGACCCACTATAGAAAGAGTAATTAGAGCTGACCCAAGCAGGAAGTGGTTACTTCCTCACGAGTTTAACAACAACATGAACACGTGAAAATTATTTCTCCATGTCTTCTGTGATCACTGAAAGTCTTACTGTTCCTTAGTGGTAGGGTCCAGGGCACCTTGAGAGAAATGTTACACAAATGAAAGAAGTGTTTCCATTTTAAGACCATCAGTTCCTGTGAGAAAAACAAGAAATGGGGATTTCTTGTTCTGTTCCTTAACTGAATGAAGAAATCCTACCATTGTAATGACTGTGCGGGAACCTTCGCGCTGTCCCATCCATGTGGATATCAGTAGGTTGTTTAGTGGTGACCTTTTACAGAGACCAGCTTTTAGGGAAATTACATGGCTGAGAGATTCCTCTGCCCAGAGGCTCACCTGTCACTTTCCTGTGCAGCAGGAGGTCATGGAAATGAGAGCAGTGGGGAGGCTGCCTCTGGAGTGAGTGGCTGGTTGGGAATCACTGCCTCCTATAACTGGAGAAGGGAACCTTTATGTTCTTTTAGAGGAAAGCACTACTGAACCCTTTGTATTTCATAATGATGGGCACTGTGGTCTTCAGTGGACTCCCTTGCAAATTGCAGTTCTTCAAGGTCCAGGGTACATTGTTATGATTTTGCCAGAAAAGGCTCTTCTGGCATCTTATCTTCTCAGTGTATGCACATAGATGTGGTAAAGATGGTGTGAAGCTGCTCTGAGGCCCATGAATATAGGGATTTTGTGTAAGTTGCCATGCCTTCTCTCATGCCTGAGCACTAACTTCAGAATAGCTTCCTAGTCCCATGAAATAGGACTGTGAAATAAAAAGGAATAACTGAATCTCTGTCAAGTAAGTAAAAGGTAATACTTTCCCACAAGATTATTTTCATTCATTATCTGACCACTACTACATTTTTTTTTTTAATTTGGCTGTGCTGGGTCTTTGTTGTAGCACATGGGATCTTTACTTCTGGCATGTGGGATCTATTCCTTGACCAGTGACTGAACCTATCTCCTGCATCAGGAGTGTGAAGTCTTAGCCACTGGACCACCAGGGGAGTCCCCTGCATCTGACTGCTTCTAGTAGCCTAGATTACTTCAGGACAGTATGGCCAGCTGGGCCTAACCATAAGCTGGATTTACATAGGACTCTTGACCTGTCATGTTTGATGATGGGAGTAGAAGAAAAAACTTCAGTTCTTCACTGTTTTTTCCCATTAAAACCTCATGCATATGTGACCCTGTGCTTAATGGAGTATTGTGTGATATGGTAGGTGTTAAAGGAGATGAGCTTTTCTCATGTAGAACTGACAGTCTTAAAATGGAAATATTTCTTTCATTTGGAGTTGACATTGCTCCAGCATGCTCTGGACCCTACCGTTAGAGAATAATAAGACTTAAGTGATCATAGTAAAAATTTAGAAATAATTTTCGTGTATGTGTTCATGATGCTGTTAAGTTTGTGAGGAAGTGGTAGAGAGTAAGAATTTTCATTATCAGGTCACAGAACAAGTAAATTTCATAACAGCAGCACATGTAAACTTATGGATGGACTATAGATTCCCAGTACTGTCCATCTCACCCATCTTCCTGTACACATATTTGTGATGTTTTAGGACCCAGTGGCCTTTGAGGATGTGGCTGTGAACTTCACCCTGGAGGAGTGGGCTCTGCTGGGGCCTTCACAGAAGAAACTCTACAGAGATGTGATGCGGGAAACTTTGAGTAACCTGGCCTTAATAAGTAAGGATGATGACATTCCTTCACTTAGAGAACAAGTGCTTCCTGCCCATCAATGTTGTTCTCAGATTTGGAACGGGGAAAGGGAAATCTTTGGTAAATAAATCATAGTTTGAGGTCATCATAGACCTGTGAAGTAATAATTTTCCTATAATTTACTGATCTTTTGGGGTCTGCATTTTAGGGGATAAATGGGAGGACCATTACACTGAAGATCAGTACAAAAACCAGGAAAGAAATCTGAGGTGAGTTGTACTTAAAATGGGAAGCAGTGTCCCACATGGGAATCTCATGTCATAAAAATCTAAAAACAAGTGGAAATAAAAGGGCCCAGTTTCAAATTTGTCGGAAAATTTTAACCAAAAATGTTTTCTTATGTCATGGATGTTGTTTCCCAAATAGTTTACTTTGAAACATATTCAGAGACTGCATATATAAATATCACTATGATAATAGCAGTGGTTGAGCTTTCTTACAGAGCATTCAGTATGTTCACTTTTAAAAACTATATAGTGCATAAACCCTACACTTTCCTTGTAAATGGGAATATGTAACACTAGTATTTATTATAAAATCATTAAAAAATCATTAACATGTGTTTCTAATTTCTTTTTTAACAGAAGTCATATATTACAGAGACTCTGTGAAAGTAAAGAAGGTAGTCAGTGTGGAGAAAACAGCACCCTTATTCCAAATCTTAATCTGAACACGAAAAATTCTGCTAAACCATGGGAATGCAGTGTGTGTGGAAAAGTCTTCATGAGTCGTTCGTCCCTTAATAGGCACCTGAGATCTCACACTGCACCCAAACCATCCAAGTATCAGGAATATGGAAGGAAGCCTTATAAATGTAGAGTATGTGGGAAAGCCTTCAGTTATCTCCAGCCTTTCCAAAAACATGAAAGTAATCATGGTATAGAAAAATCCTATAAATGTAAGGAATGTGGAAAATCCTTTAGATATCGTCAATCTGTTCGAAAACATGAACGGACTCACACTGGAGAGAAACCCTATCAGTGTAAACAGTGTGGAAAAGCCTTTCGATACCATCAAACCTTTCAAACACATGAAAGAACTCACACAGGAGAGAAACCCTATGAATGTAAGCAATGTGGTAAAGCCCTCAGTTGTCCCAGTTCCTTTCGAAGCCATGAAAGGACTCATACTGGAGAAAAACCCTATGAATGTAAAAAGTGTAGTAAAGCCTTCAGTTGTCCCAGTTCTCTTCGAAAACATGAGAGAACTCATACTGGAGAGAAACCTTATGATTGTAAGGAATGTGGAAAAGCTTTTATTTCTCTTGGAAGTTTTCAAAGACACATGATAACACATACTGGAGTTGGACCTTATAAATGTAAGGACTGTGGGAAAGCATTCAATTGTCCCAGTTCATACAGAATACACGAAAGATCTCACACTGGAGAAAAACCCTATGAATGTAAACAATGTGGTAGAGCCTTCAGTTGTTCCAGTTCATTTCGAACACATGAAAGAACTCACACTGGAGAGAAACCTTATCAATGTAAGGAATGTGGAAAAGCCTTCCACTGGCTCACCACTTTTCAAGTCCACGTGAGAACTCACACTGGCGAGAAACCGTATATATGTAAGCAGTGTGGTAAAGCCCTCAGTTGTCCCACTTCCTTTCGAAGACATGAGCGGACTCACACTGCAGAGAAACCGTATGAATGTAAGCAGTGTGGAAAAACCTTCAGTTCTCCTCTAGGTCTGCAAATACATGAAAGAACTCACACTGGGGAGAAACCCTATAAATGTGAGAAATGTGGGAAAGCATTTGTTTCTCTCACAAGCTTTCGAAGACACATGATGACGCACACTGGAGATGGACCTTATAAATGTACAGAATGTGGGAAAGCATTTAATTGTCCTAGTTCATTTCGAATACATGAAAGAACTCACACAGGAGAGAAACCCTATGATTGTAAGATATGTGGTAAAGCCTTCAGTTGTTCCAGTTACGTTCAAGTACATGAAAGAACTCACACTGGAGAGAAACCCTATGAATGTAAGGAATGTGGGAAGGCATTCATTTACCGCACAACCTTTCGAGGTCACTTGAGAGTGCACACTGGTGAGAAACCATATAAATGTAAAGACTGTGGGAAAGCCTTTAGTCGACCCAGTTCATACAGAAGTCATGAGAGAATTCACACTGGAGAGAAACTTCTTGAATGTAAGCACTGTGGGAAGGCCTTCAATTGGCCCACATCCTTACATAAACATGTCATGAGAATGCACACTAGATAAATTATAACTGATAAATACAGCAGAGTTTTCTAGCTTAACAAACACATTCAAAGTCTTGTTAAAACTACTAGAGATAAATGCTATAAAGTGTAAATAACATGGGAAAGCCTGATGTGGATTAATTCACATATAATAGTACTCCAGAAAATTCACATGAAAAAAATGTTTTAAAAGTTAAAAATATATCCTCTTTATTAGTGGCTTGTTCTGAAACTCAGTTATGGATTCTACTTGTTAACTTTGCAACTGAAGACTGAGTTGAAACAATTCTGTAAGAACTCTTTAAGCAATAGTACTTAGCAAGCTTAGTGGGTAGTATATTTCCTTAAACTAGCTTATAGAATTTTTGTCTTTCCATTTTGAAATGTGTTGGCACCATGGGTGAACTGGAATATAATGTAATGTGCCAACATTATATAATGTGCCAAAATATATAACTTTTAAATTGTTCTGTAAGTAAAGGGGTCATGGAATAATGACACTGGTAGTTGTTGGGATTTTCCTATTGGCTTCCTGTGGCAGGTACTGGGTATTTCTTACCCACTGTAAATATTCCTCTTTCATTAGAAAAACTTTTGTCAGAAGTATCTTTTTCCATTTTCCTTGCTAATAAATAGTTGGCATAAAGTTGTAAGTATGCAAAGTTTATCATAATCTTATTTGACTTAGTTACACCTTTTCTCTCAACTCTTGTCATTCCATCTGACTGTGATTTGGGTAATCGGCTTCACATTAAGAAAAGAGACCCATGTTGACATCATCTGCATACTTCAATGAAGCAGCTTTACATTGTTTGCGAGCTTGGTTATTTTATATTTAAAACTACAACACCTTTGCACTGTAGTGACATTTTTTCCCCCAAGAGCACATTAAAAATCCTCCTACAGTATTCTGATATCACCATTTAGGGTCTCTTTTACCCATAATGCAGTTAGAATAATTACATGATATCTCTGAAGTCAACTAGTGGCATTACCATCCCTCCATATTCAGCACCTACTATGTGCCTGTGCTGTGAATACAACAGTGAACATAACTGAAGTGGTTTCTCCTCTCACAGGGTTTCAAGTCTATGAGATTAAAAAGCTAGAAATGTCATGCTATTAACATTTAAACTTTTATTTATTTTTGTAATAACACTAACAGACCAGTAAGTCTTTATATTTGTGGAAAGAAGAGAGACCTGTGACAGGACCATAAAACATAGAATTGGAGATGGTCTCTTGGAGTGTGTTCTGTCAACATGAGTAATATGCTGTGACCTACATTTTCTAGAACCTGTTCTTTTTATGGTTCCATATTAGAATTCACCACTAGCCTCCCTTGCATGACATCTGGAAGGCAAAGTGAAGAATGCCTTAGTTTTTGAGCCACATAGGAGTTTCATATATACCTGGTTCCAGCCCGTTTTCCTGATTCTTGGCCTAGCCAGTCCAAAGTATCCTGGTTACCCCCACCTACATGACTTCCACTTTCTCAGACCTGTTCCACAACAAAGATCTACCACAGTTTGGATTCTCCTGTAAGTGCTCATGTGTCCACTGGGCAACAAATTTAAGACTGTTGTGGTTGAGAAAGTTTTGTGATGCACTGACTCCCCTCTTCTCTATATTGTATTTGTATAAGGTCTAATTTGAGTAGAAAATACTTGGTTCTGTTGATCCTGCTAGTGACCAAGTGCTCCTGATTCCACAGCAATAGCTATGATGGTGCAATCAGAAGGAACCACATGATCCTGCTGTGTGTGCCTCTGTGCGCTGCTCAGTGATACCTGTGACCCAGTCCTTCCATGTGAGAATCGGCACCTTCCTCTTATCAGATAAACTGTGGCTATTTCCAGTTACTCATAGTTAGTTGAACATAATTCCTCAGTACATTTTCAGTTATATTTAATTGTATGTGACTGAAAACGATGTTCCTTTTTTGTTTGTTTTTTAGGTCTAATGCTTCTGTAGATTTTTCTTAAGAGCTGTTTTATTAACTTGCAAAAAACTTCTTACTAACAAATATTAGGATATATTGAAACATCCATTGTAATTGTGGATTTTTACATCAACTTGGTGTTTTTTTCAGGTTAATTGTTACACATTTTGACTCAGTATTACCATGTATATTTTTCTTTAGGAAGATTTTATTTTTCCACAGTCACAACTTTTGTCATGAAATGGATTTCTCATTTGTTCTTAATTAAAGTTTTCGATCTTTTTTTGTTAGTGCCTTCTTGCCATAAACTACCAGGTTGAAGGGGATATGTGTATACCTGTAGCTGATTCATTTCACTGTACTGCAGCAGCTAACACAGCACTGTAAAGCAACTATACTCCAATAAGAAAATAAAATTTAATTTTAAAAAAACTACCACGTTCACACTTGTATTCAAATAGAAGGGTGGAACAAATCATAATAAGGATGGCCACAAACCATAAATGGTAATAGTTGTATCAGTAAGAGAATGTCCAAAAAGTCGTCTTACAGGATTTGGACTTGTGTTAGGTATTATCTCCTTTTCGAAATTTCAAATCAACTGAGGCTTTATGAGTTTTGATAAATTGTCAAGAATTATCCCAAACCTAACAAGGGATAGAGACAGGGTTACTATCCTAAGCAAGGCTTTCTTGCTCAGAAACCATGCTCTTGATGCTCATTTTTCAGCATCACTCTTCTACTAGGCACTGTAGGCTCAGAACATACACAATTTAGCATAGATAGGGCGCTGTGCACTCCAGACATATGGGCATGAAACAAGTTCTTGAAATCCTGGTACTCAAATTTCTGGGGGGAAAGAGATGGTTAATATAACAGCACAGTCTGGGTTTATAAATGAAAGTTAGGGCTGTGAAGAAAGTAAACAACGCAGACTTACATGGTGGTATAATGGATAAGAATCTGCCTGCCAATGAAGAGGGTGTGGGTTCAATTCCTGGTCCGGGAAGATCCCACATGTCTCAGAGTAACTAACCCCGGGTGCCACAACTACTGAAACCGGCACGTCTAGAGCCTATGGCACCACAACAAAGAGCAGTCACCACTCGTCGCAACTAGAGAAACCCTGCGTGCAGCAACAAAAGACCCAGCACAACCAAACAAAAAAAATTTTAAGTAAACAATGCTATAGGATAATAAGGACACTGGGAATGTGTGTCTGTGGAGGGCCAGAGCCTCAAAAGTGAGGATATCATCACAGATCATTTTTTATTTCCACCATCTTGCATCTTAAACACTCTTTGAGGAACTGCTTGGGTGCAGATGTAAAAAGTGTTGGGGGGCGGGGGGGGGGCAATATTGACAGTCCTGCAATCCTAGAATTAACAGTAATAATTTTCCATAAAGATAGAGACATGGTTCATCTTCATTTTTGCCATAGTTAAAATTTTTACTGCATGCAATAGTAACCATGAGTCTTTATTGCATGTGATAGTAATCATACTTAACAGAATGAAGAATTAAAGACCTGGAGAGAAAGGACTTAGCCCCCAACAGGCCTTTCTTGCAACCCCACCCTAATTAGGAAGCACCCTCTAAGGCTGCACCTGCCCTCTGCCTACACACAATAGGAGAGAAGTGAGAGGGCTCTCAGGATCTGTCTTTAATTCAAGCATATTTGCACCCTTTATTGCATATCATTAGGCCACTGCCAATGGTCTAGCTGTCTGATCTCACCACCAAGAACAACTTCTTATCCAAGGTTACCCCTTTACAGATAAAGAACTCATAACATCTTGCCTCACAATTACCCAAACATAAGTTCAGGTCACAAACATCCATGCACATAATAAAACCTCAAAGCTTCAGAGGCTCATTTCAGTACACAAGAAATTGACTTGAGTTTCTGAGACACATACCTACATCTCAGACCTGATACTATATATGACCTTGGCCGAAATATGCTAGCAAACCTGGAAAACTCAGCAGTGGCCACAGGACTGGAAAAGGTCAGTTTTCATTCCAATCCCAAAGAAAGGCAATGCCAAAGAATGCTCAACTACCGCACAATTGCACTCATCTCACACGCTAGTAAAGTAACGCTCAAAATTCTCCAAGCCAGGCTTCAACAGTACATGAACCATGAATGTCCAGATTTCAAGCTGGATTTAGAAAAGGCAGAGGAACTAGAGATCAAATTGCCAACATCTGTTGCATTATCAAAAACACAAAAGAGTTCCAGAAAAACATCTATTTCTGCTTTATTGACTATGCCAAAGCCTTTGACTGTGTGGATCACCACAAACTGTGGAAAATTCTTAAAGAGATGGGAATACCAGACCACCTGACCTGCCTCCTGAGAAATCTGTACGCAGGTCAGGAAGCAACAGTTAGAACTGGACATGGAAAAACAGACTGGTTCCAGATTGGGAAAGGAGTACGTTAAGGCTGTATACTGTCACCCTGCTTATTTAACTTATATTCAGAGAACATCATGAGAACACTGAGCTGGATGAAGCACAAGCTGGAATCAAGATTGCCTGGAGAAATATCAATAATCTCAGATATGCAGATGACACCACCCTTACAGAAGAAAGAGAAGAACAACTAAAGAGCCTCTTGATGAAAGTGAAAGAGAAGAGTTAAAAAGTTGGCTTAAAGCTCAACATTCAGAAAACTAAAATCATGGCATCCGGTCCCACCACTTCATGGGAAATAGATGGGGAAACAATAGAAATAGTGACGGACTTTATTTTTGGGCTCCAAAATCACTGCAGATGGTGATTGCAACCATGAAATTAAAAAACACTTGCTCCTTGGAAGAAAAGTTATGACTAACCTATACAGCATATTAAAAAGCAGAGACATTACTTTGCCAACAAGGTCAATGTAGTCGAAGCTATGGTTTTTCATAGAGTTGGACCATAAAGAAAGCTGAGCAGCGAAGAATTGATGCTTTTGAACTGTGGTGTTGCAGAAGACTCTTGAGAGTCCCTTGGACTCCAAGGATATCCAATCAGTCCATCCTAAAGGAAATCAGTCCTGAATATTCATTGTAAGGACTGATGCTGAAGCTG